GCGGGCCATTCGAAACTAAAGTTTATATTGAAAGCGCTTTTCAATTAAAACTAAAACAGAAGGCAGAACAAGTTCGTTGAAGCAGGAAAGCGAAGGAAAGAGAGAGAGAGATAGATATAGATAGGGGGAGGGAGGGAGAGGCGATGAAAAATCGAACAAAATGTGCGCTCATTAAAAATTCGCATAATTTATACATTAATGAATGTTGCCGACGACATTTGGCTGAGGTCGACGCCGGCTACCGAAATAAAATAGCGATATTTATGTCAACAACTGGATGTGGGAACACCAGCAGCGGGGGCGGCGCTCGCAGGCGGTGTGTGGAGCGTATCGAAGTTATGATTCCGCTGACAGCCAAGAGATCAGCATTTGCATGGACCATAACAAAGGATTAGATGGATCTGCGATCAGCCGCAGCCAGGAGACAGAAGTCTATGGCGCACAAATGCGCTAATAAATAAAACTTGGCATCGGACGTAAGAAATCAACTGGCAGATGACAAGGACAGAGGAGCATGTGTGTGAGTGTGTGTGTGCGTGTGTGTGCTGTAAAGTATGAATCTCTATGCGACAGCCGAAGTCTGCATACCCTGTAATAAATAAGCTATTTGATTTGTCTGCTTGTTAACCTACGCAAAGGGCTATTCATTTGCGTTTGCATGGCTTAAGTCTGCTGTTTGTCTTGCTTTGCATGCCTTTGATTTGATTTGTGATTGCTGCTCATTAAAGAGATACCCTGTGATTACTGGCTAAGCGCGCTGCAACTATTAATGCAAATGGCAGATAAATTCACAAATGTATTGAGAAAATTAGGATGCATTCGAATCCATAACAAACAACCTCCCCAAGCAAGTAACTGAATAGGGAATACACGACGGAAAGTTACCCTATAATTATCTTAGATTCTGTAAAGAACTTAAATATTGTCATTACATAAGCTGGAAAATACTTTATATTCAATATTAGTTATCGAAAAGAAAATGATGTACCGGGAAATACCCTGTAGAAATAAAGAACTCAATTTATTAAGTAAATGAGTAGTCTCTAAACATTGATTTATATTTAAAGCATTAAAATATATATTAGTCTTACTACTATTTATATTCTGATAGTATTTAAACTACAACTATTACTAGTCTTAGTACTGTGTGTTATCTTCTGCTATTTCTACTTCAACCATTATTTTTACTTCTACTACCTTTTCTCATGTCTACTACTACTTATATTTCTGCT